GGAACCCAGTTCCTGCTGTGCGGTCTGCCCCGCGAGCCCTGAGCCCGCGAGCCTGCGCGCTGAAGCCCGGCCGTCCCCTGCCAACAGTGGCGTCCGCGGCTCCTTCAGTAGGCGTGCTCGGCTTCCGAGGTGACGACCCGCTTTATTACCAAGACCCAAAGCGGTCTTTTGGCTTCGCTAGTGCCTCACCATGAAGCAACGCGGGCATATATATATATATATATACACAACGTATGTAAGCTTTCCCTGTATACGGAGAGGGAACACTGGGGTGCAACTTGGTGGTAGAGCTCTTGCCCAGCGTGTGCCAGGCAGGCCCTGGGTTCATCCCCAAATTCCTCAAAGGTTTCGTGCCACCGCTTTACCCACTTTGTATCCTTCCAAAAAGACTTTTATGTCCTTGCACACGCGAGTCTGTGCTACTCTTGCTGTACTGTAACTGGTTGCCTGCTAAGCACATTTTTCTGCACTGTGCATTCCACCTCTATCCACCTGGGTCTTTTTCACACCTGTGAAGCCGGGCTGTACCTAATCATCCCATAGAGATGGGCATGTAGGTCGTTTCCAACCTCATGCTTTAAATAATGTTACAGTGAGTAATATTTCAGTATTCTTCTTATTATTATTTTTCTGTACCGGGGATCAAACTCGGGTCCTTGCACTTGTGAAGCAGGCGGTAGAACCACTGAGCTAAATCCCCGGCCCATTTCAGTGTTGTTTTAGCAAATTTTTTGAAGCGACTCTGTCAGCTTCTGTTCAGTGTATTTGGGATACTTCACTTAATAGAACAAGTTCACAGAGATGTTCTCAGTGAAGAGGCAAACAATCATCGCACACTAAAAGCAAGTCCTGGGGAAATTGTAGGTTAGAACAGAGGCTGGGCTAGCAGAATGTAGGTGGTAGTATGCCTCGTGTACTCAGTGTAAGTGAAGAAGCCAGTGTGTCTGAAGCAGTCTCTGTGCATGTGGGCATTTTTGCTGGTTAAATTCTTAGAAGAATTATTAGATTACTGGATTGGATCCCTTTTCAAATTCTCTCACTTTGAAGCACTAGGAGAGAAAAGTAGTCATTCTCTGAAGGAAATGGTAAGCAAATAAAACTGAAATAACTGCAGGAAATCCAAAGAATAAAATATGACAGCTTCTCTGTATTTTGAGAATCTCAGGACTGCCCCCCCATCCCAATGGCACAACAGGAAGACATACTGAATGCCATCACACCTTCTCTGGAGGTGACTACTTTGGTGACCTGGCATTTCCTCCTGCCTTCCCAGGTCTACCTGGCAGGTTCCATCTTGTCCCTAGCGAGAGAAGTAAGCACGAGTGCCAGTTCTTTTCTTGGCTGGTTGCTCCAGGGTCTTCCTACTCGGTTCCAATTTCTGATCTAAAGATGCTCATTTCGGGCTGACTGCAAGGTGAGGATGACTGGTATGGGGAAGTGGCCCTGGGAGGTCAATGTCAGTGGTAAGGCGTGTGTGTAGCAGATTGCAGTAAGTGCCGACTGGGGCCAAGGCCTTTCCGCAGACCTGGAGATGAATATAGCAGAGCAAAGTCCTGCCCCCTTGTAAAAGCAGGGGAGAGGCTTTCCAGTCTGCAGGAGTTGTAGGAACGAAGTAGTACAGTATGTATGGTAAGGGGTAGGCATAAAACCGGAGCGAATTATACCAGACAAGTGGATTTTGCTTGCTCGTGAGGCATTTTGTGTGAATGCCAACCAATTTGTCTTCTGTAAGGAAAATTGGTAATCCATCAGTGTGTGTCAGGGTGGCTTTAGGGACTGAACCCAGGGCCCTGCACATGCTTAGGTACATCCCCAGCTCTTTTTAAACATTTTATTTTGAGACAAGTCTTACTAAGTTGCCCCAGCTGGCCTCCAACTTGCTATCCTCCTGCCTCATCCTCCTGAGTATCTGGGATTGCAGGCCTGCACCACCATACCCAGCACATCAAAGGATTCTTTACTAGGCCTGTGACAAGATGAGTTGTATTTGCAGATGACTGGGGCCAGATGGTGGTGCTCTGAGAGGGGAGTTAAGCCAGAAAGACTAGTTAGTCCACTGCAGCAACCATCCAGATGTCAGAGTCACATTCAACTGTAAGCATGTATTTCCTGTGTGCCTACGACATGCCGGGTACTAGAGCTGCATCAGTGGAGCTGTCACTCTGGAGAGGGGGATGGAAATATACATGGAATGTATAGTGTGTCAGGTGGTGGTAAAGCTGAGAAGTAGGCAAGGGAGAGGAAGATTGTGTGGGGGCAGATTGCACTTTTAAAGGGTGATCAGGGAAGGAAGCCTTATCTATGTGACATTTAAGTGACAAGTAAAAGTGGGCCCAGAGCAGGCAAAGAGAGGTGGCTTTGGGAGAATCAACAGGATTGAGAGACAGTAAGATGACAGGAGCAGAGAGAAGGATGAGTCAAAAAGGAGAGGCTTTAATTAAGGGTGATACAAGGCCACTAGAGACCTGCTACGTAAGCTTCCCAAATACCCCTGTGGCCCCCAGTGTCTGAGGATGGTGAGACACCTTTCCTATAGTGTCTTTACCTGACAGCCTGTCTCCCCAGGTGAGTTACAAGCTTCTTGAGACAGTGATGGGGTCATCCCTTGCTACCCACATTGGCGTCACATTTGGAGGCTTCCCAGGGCCTTGCCCCCATTCACTCTCCAGAGCAGCCCGTGGAGTTCACTCTGGGCCTCCCCCACCAGCTTCCCTTCCTAAGAGAAGCTGGGAGGTTGGTCCTTCCTGGGTGACAAGGCTGAGGGTCCACTGTGCAGGGCCTAATACGGCCTCATGGCAGGTTTGGGTTATGGGCTGAGCAGCAGCCAGTCCTAGGCCATCCCTGTATTTGTGTGGGCTTTGTGCTGTCTCTCTCCTGGGTCCCTAGGTCAGCTGGTGGGTGTTCTTACCAGTCTTCCCAGGAAGGGCATCTCTTACACGGTAGTGGAGCAGATGGTACGGTTGCCTTCAGCCCCGCCATTTCCTGTCTCTCAGAGCTCAGTGTGCCTCCTGCTGTGCCCTACCTGGACCAGCCCCCCACTCCACTCTGCTTTTACCGGGACTGGGTGTGCCCCAATAGGCCCTGCATCATCCGCAATGCCCTGCAGCACTGGCCAGCTCTGCAGAAGTGGTCCTTCCCCTACTTAAGGTGGGCACTTCCCTGGGTGATGGGTGGGCAGTGGTTCCTGGCAGCTGGACCTGAGCCTTGCGTCTGTTCCTCCAGAGCCACCATGGGCTCCACAGAGGTGAGTGTGGCTGTGACCCCAGACGGTTATGCAGACGCAGTACGAGGGGACCGCTTTGTGATGCCTGTGGAGCGCCACCTGCCCCTGAGCCATGTGCTAGATGTGCTGGAGGGCCAGGCCCAGCACCCAGGAGTCCTCTATGTGCAAAAGCAGTGCTCCAACTTGGCCACTGAGCTGTCCCAGCTGCTGTCCGACCTGGAGCCACACGTGCCCTGGGCCTCGGAGGCATTGGGTGTGTCCTGTGGTACGGGGAGGGGCAGGGCATGGGTGGTCTCTGGCTGGAGGCTGGCAGGGACGATGTGGGGAGGGGCTCAGCCTGCTTGCTTGTTCTCTCTCTTTGCTTTTGTCTAGGTCCTCTGGGGTCAGGGGTTGCCCCCCCCCTGCCTCAGGCGTGGACTTAATAGACACAACCAAAGCTTGCTGCTCTTCCTTTTGGCCCAGGGGAAGCACTCCCTCCTTCCTCTTCTCCCTGACTCCCTGGATTCTTTTGTTCTTACCTGGTTCTTGCTGAGCACCCTGCATGGGGCCTTCCTGACCTGCCCTCTGCCCCACAGGAAAGATGCCTGATGCTGTGAACTTCTGGCTTGGAGAGGCAGCTGCAGTGACGTCCTGTAAGTTTAGGGATCACAGATCGGGAGGAGCCAGTGGGGTAGAGGGAGGGAAGTTAAGGCCTCCACAGAAGGTCGATGGGATGGCAGTTGGGCTGGCAGATCTCTCAGACTTCCTTTGGGATTCTGGGATGTAGACACTATAGAGGGTCTCCCCTGACAGCTGAGGGGGTACTCATGGTATTGGGAATGGGGTACGCCATTTCTTCTAAGTCTCTAGAAGGCACTTTGAAGGCCAGCTTAGTCAAGGAACCTAGAAACCTTTTGGCTCCGCCTGCCCTCATGGTGGAGATGAGGTGGGGTCCAGTCTTGGTGGGCCAGGTTCTGTGGTGCACACCTGCGTTCTTGGTTCCTTCTTGAGCCAGGTGATCCTTTTGTCATAAGTAATCTTGGGGTACAAGGCAGGGATGAGGTGATTTTCCCCCCACATATATATGCTGCCCCCTGCCTTACCTGTATTCGCAGTGCACAAGGACCACTATGAGAACCTGTATTGTGTGGTGTCAGGAGAGAAGCACTTCCTGTTACATCCGCCCAGTGACCGGCCCTTCATCCCCTATGGTAGGGATGTGGCCTAAAGGAAAGGCTGTGGAAGTGGTGGCCTGCAGTGGGGCAGGGCAGCAAGAGCCCTCAGCCCTCTGGCCCTGCACCTAGGGAACACATGGGCCTGTTGGGATGGGGCAGAGCTGACAAGGCTGGCAAGAATCCCCACACCCTTCTCTGTTGGTCTTCAGAGATGTACACCCCAGCAAGCTACCAGCTGACTGAAGAGGGTACCTTTAAGATGGTGGATGAAGAATCAATGGAGAAGGTGTCTGTCCTGTCCCTAGGGAGGCAAAAGGGCCCTGAGAGATAGGCAGGAGGATCTGGGGAGGTGGCACCTTGCTCTGAAAAGATGTTAACTCCGGGGCCTTGCAGTGCTGAGCAGACGGGGATCCGTGGTATTCACCTTTGGAAGAGATAGTGCTGGAGGGCCTGGGCCTTGGGCCCTGTTCCCTCCTGGCATCTGCTGTGTCCTAGGTGCCCTGGATCCCCCTGGACCCCCTGGCTCCAGACCTGGCCCGGTACCCAAGTTACAGCCAGGCCCAGGCTCTGCGCTGCACGGTGCAAGCCGGCGAGCTGCTCTACTTGCCGGCTCTGTGGTTTCACCACGTCCAGCAGTCCCATGGTTGCATTGCTGGTGAGTTGTGCCTGGGGCAGGCCTGGCCAAGGCCAGCAGGGCATCTCAGAAAGTTGGGGGTTATACATGGGCCCTCACATTCAGCCCCCATTCTCCCCACAGTGAATTTCTGGTATGACATGGAGTATGACCTCAAGTACAGTTACTTCAAGCTGCTTGACTCCCTCACAAAGGCTGCAGGCCTCAACTGATGGTGCCTTGTGGACACCACCAAGGACAGCACAGGGGAAAGCCGGGGTCCCTTCTGGCTTGGTCTACTGCAGAGACAACCTAGCATTTGAGTACTCATTGCTACTGGCCCAGGGCCCAGCAAGGCTTGGGATGCAGTCCGGAGGTGCCGGGCAGGCGTAAGTGAGGTTGCCGGGAAGTTGCCACACAGTTGAGGAGGAGCAGAAATCAGGTGCAGCAGTCACCCATGCCTTGGCCTTGGGCATGTCACCTCCTGTTGGCATTGGTGTCTTGGGCCCTAAACGGAGATAATAATGGTTCACCTCAGGGCTGTTGTAGGGATGGAGATGACATCTGGGAGACCAGCATGGCCAGCAAAGGACATGGTCAATAAAAGTGTCTGTAATTCACTTGTTCTCACCCTCCCTGTCACAGTTGCTTTCTGCGGCCTGGTAAGAGTAAGAAAAGTTCAGGTAAAAATCTCTGGGTGATCCTGATGGGGGTACAGGCTGGATGCAGACCTGGGGAGCTGTCTGCTGGCCCTCTCTGGGGCAGGCAGTTGGCCTGTTTTCTTGTGATGGCCTGGCTGAAACTTCCCTGGCCCAGGGCCTCTGGCACCATTGCTGGCTCTCCCCTCGTTTGCTTTCCTCTCTCAGTTATTGGGTAGTTGATGGGGTCTGGTGCCCTGGGGTGAACCTGTTTACCCTACAGTGGACATAGGCAGAAAGGGTCGGGAGTTCTGTTCCTCCTGGAGCTGTCCCGCTGAGGAAGGAGGAGACTTGCTTCATCCGTTCTGAAGAGCAGGAAGCACCAAACCTCAGGCTCGTCCCTGGCAACCCGCCCCAAGGGTGGAGGCAGCCCAGACCCAGACATGGCTTTGAAGGGCTGCTTACATGACAGAGTCACTTCCCTGCCAGGTTGGGATGGGGCCTTCAGGGCTTCAGTCAAGACTGGGCATTCCTGTCGTACAGGTACTAGGAAGTTGCGAAAGGCCTGGCTGATTTGGGACAGTTGGCTCCTCAGTTTATCACTGCTCTGGGCCCCAGGCTCTGCTTTCCTTCAGCTCAGCCCCAACAACAAAGCTCTTCTGGAGCCCTCTCCTGCAAGGCAGGGCTAGCTGGGGCAGGTCCCAGGTGGGCATCTGGGATGTTGGGGATCCGAGGCTGGCACTGAACATGTCGGGGCTCTGGAATCAGCTTAAGGTGGCTGGTTTCCAGGACAGGAGGTGGTTCTCAGTGGGCATGGACTTGGGTGGAGAGGAGGCGGCAGATGGGTGGAACTAGGGAGGAGCTCTGGTCAGCTGGGACACCTGGCTCCAGTTTAAAAGCCTGTAGTCCTTGCTTGTGTAGCCACTGCCCCATCATTCTTGCTCCTGAGGACTCAGCCTCATGGCTCTGGTAAGGCCTTACAGGGCCCTGGGCCCTGGAGGGTATCTGGCACAGGCCCCTCTTCTCCAGTACATGACCTAGGCTTCCCTGACATCACAGAGGTCTCTGCCAGCCAGGAGCAACTTTTAGCCAACTTTGAACTTTGAACCTGGCCCCTATCCTGCTCCTGGCTTCTGCTGTTTATTCTTTCTTTTCTTTTCTTTTCTTTTCTTTTTTGTGGTACCAGGGATCAAATTTAGGACCTTGTGCTTTCGAGGCAGGTGGCAGCACCACTGAGCTAAATCCCTGGCTCTTTGCTATTCCTTAGAGGAGTTGTGGTCTCTAGGTACAGAGAGGGTGCTTATGACCGAGGGACCAGAGCAGTGCCCAGAGGCAGCGATCTGGGGTGAGGGATGTTCTGCCCTGGGAATGGGCCCAGAACTCAGTGACTTCCAGCTTCCATCCTGGGATCCAGAAGGAAGTGGCTGCTTAAAGCTCCTCCTGACTCACTTGCTTGGGGTGTGAGAACCCTGGGGCTGCTGCAGGCAATGAGCTTCCCCAGCTCAGCCCCTTCCTTGGGAGCTCTCTGGACTGGATCTTATGGTGCCTCACAGAGGCAGGGATGGAGACCAACAGGAAGGACCAGTTGACACAGGCTTTTCTGGCCCTATCACACTGGCCGGTGTCTATATCCCCAGAACCAGGGAGTGGGTTTGGAGGGAGCTCTTTAGAGACCATCCTAGAACCTGGAGGGTGCTGGCTACAATTCCCGCTGTACAAAGAGCTGATCTCCATCAGGCGCCTTCCCCTCCCCTGATAGCTTGTATGCCCTGCTGCCCCCGACCAGCACCAAAGCTGCTTACCTAGGGTGTGGTTTGGAAAGGCTGAAGGGGATAGAAGCAGCCAGGTGTTGGCATAAATTGGAGCTGGCCAGTCCCAACTACATCTCAAACAGATGGCTGCTCCTCTGCCTCAGTTTCCTTCTGGGACTGGCCAGCTCACTCATCATGTAGCCCCGCACAGGGCTCTGGTGTGGAAAGTGAGTGAACGTACATAGGGCCCTGGCTCAGAGCTGGACAGAGCCCTATGTCAGTATAAGTGGGTCAGCATGGCTGTGTCTCCTCTCGGCCTGGGACTCTGATGTTTTGGAGGGTGGACCTGGGCCTGAGTGGGCCTGAATCTTTGGTTCAGGATTTGGCCTAAAAGGATTGGCCCAGCCTCTGCTGTGGCACCATCTGCCTGCAGCAGACCTAATCCTCTTCCCTTCTGCAGGCAAAGGTCCCTGGGACCTGCCTCCTCCTTGTGCGTGTCCTGCAGGCCCATGGCCTGCCCTCCAAGGACCTGAGTGAGTATGCTGTGCCACTGGGCCATGCACGCTGGGGCAGGAGGCCATTGCAGTGGGGTGGTGTCGGGGAACGGATGGGAGCAGTTGTGGGTGCAGGAAGGGTGGGTCCAGCCCGGTGGGCATGGTCTGCAGGTTATGGGAGAAGTGGGCTCGGACGGCTGGGCTGGGGAGGCTCTCTGCCATCATGAGCATTCTCTCCTCCTCCTTGCAGTAAGCCATTCAGACTGCTACGTAACTCTGTGGCTGCCCACAGCCTCCAGCCACAGGCTGCAGACACGCACTGTCAAGAACAGCAGAGACCCGGTCTGGAACCAAACCTTTCGCTTCCGAATCCACAGCCAGCTCAAGGTGGCCTGGGTGTCATGCTGGCCCTGCTCTCTGTCCCTATGCACCATAGTCACCTGTCCTCTCCTAGTCCCCGGCCCCTGCCCTGCTCACCTTCCCACTCACACCTCTTTTTCGGAGACATCTCACTTTGGTACCTTCCAGAATATGCTGGAACTGAAAGTCTTTGACCGAGACCTGTGGACCAAGGATGATGCAGTGTTGTCGGTGGTGTTTGACGTGGGGACCCTGCGGGCTGGGGAGTTCCAGCACCAGAGCTTCTCCCTGAGTACTGAGGCAAGGCAGGCCCCTCTTCTCTGGTGCATGGTCCAGGGCCTCTGCCACTAGGATCAACTTGTATCCAAGGAACATCCTGTCCCCAGTCTTCTTTCTTGGCTTCTGGAAGAGCCAAAGGACAGCTTGTCTTTTTTCTAGGGGAGGAGGTTGAGACAGGGTCTCACTATGTAGTCCAAACTGCCTTCGAACTCACTGTGTGCCTCAGGGTGGCCTTGAACTTGTGGTCTTCCTGCCTCAGCCTCCTGAGTGCTGGGATTACAGGGGTGCCAAAAGAGCGCTTCCTTGGAGCAGCCCAAGGAATGTGGAGAGCAACCGGTATAGGGACAGTGGCCCTTCCCAGCAGTGTAGCCTCACAGCCCCAGCCGAGGTCTGGGTTAGAATGCACACATGGACAAGCACTCACAGGCACCGCACATGACCCTTCTCACTAACTCATGCCTTTTTCTCTCCAGGGTGAGATGCAGCTGGAAGTAGAGTTTCGACTGCAGAGCTTGTGAGTCCAGGCAGGAGCAGGGGTGCTCACTTTGGGTGCCCTCCCTGGTGGAGGAGGAGGGCTCAGGTCTTGGGCTGCAGGCTGGGAAAGGACCTGGGCCCTTACTGGGGTCTCTGGGGCTCGTTCCAGGACAGACTGTGCAGAGTGTCTGATCAGCAATGGCATCCTGGTGGTGAGTCAAGAGCCATGTTGTGGGGGCCGGGGTCCGCTGTGGCTGCCCCTCAGGGGAGAACCAGCGCAGCAGCCAGGGGTGGGACAGGGTACAGGGGGCCGGGCTGCTGTCTGAGGGGCTCTCCCCAACCCAGGCCCGGGAGCTCTCCCGCTTACACGTTCAGCTGGAAGAGGTGGGGGACCGGGAAGGTGAGTCCATGACTGCTGTGACAGCCTTCTGCTCATTCCTTGTCATCCTTCTTCTGAAGGGGACCCTGAAGGGACCTTGCACTAGCTGCCTTCTGTTCCCATAGGCAGGAGTGTGGGTTGGGGGTAAGTCATACGGGACCTGGGTTTCCCCTAGACTGCAGGGGCTTTGGTGGGAGATCCATGGGCTGGATCTTCATTTTGGATGGAGAGAGAAGGAAGGGCCTTCTAGGCTCAGTGAAGGACTCTGGGCAGAGATGCCATCCTTGGTCTCTGCTTCTGTTCCTGCTTCTAGGGTCAGAGAGCAAGGTTCAGCTTGTGGTTCCAGGGTCCTGTGAGGGTCCGCAGGCGGCCTCTGTGGGCACTGGCCCTTTCCGCTTCCACTGCCTGGCTTCCTGGGAGCAAGAGTTGAACATTCACCTGCAGGTAATGTGCCTGCCCTGGGGAGCTGAGCTTCCTACTCTATTCTCTCCACCTCCTCCCCCTGGCCTCTGCCCACCCTAGGCCACTGTCCTGGGTGGAGTGGGGGTGCTGGCCACCTGCTTCTCTCCCTGTGGCTCCTCTCTTGCTGCCAGGAGGAGCAGGTGGGGTCCTTGCTAAGAGAAGAAGAGTGAAGACTCCTGGGTGTTCACCCTTTATCCCCCTACAGGACGACCCCCACAAGCAACTGAAGGTGCCGCTGCAGGCCCTGCCCTCTGGCCAGCTGGTGAGGCTGGTCTTCCCCACATCGCAGGTACTGGTGTCTAGAGGAGAACAGCTGGGTGCATGGCCGGGGCTGGCTCTGGCTGCCTGGAAGTCTGGGGGCATGAGGAGCCGGGTCAGGGTGCACAGGAACTAGGTGGGAGGATCAGAGTCGGCTGGAGGCAGCCATCCTTTGTGACAGCAACAATTTATGACTCCAGGAACCCATGCTGAGGGTAGAACTGAAGAAAGAAGAATGGTAAGAGGCCTGGCAGGGACACGGGAAGCCACGGGGAGGCAGCGGAGCCGGACTGAGGCAGGCGGCTGGCCTGGGGGCACAAGGGGAGCAGGTCCTTTCCTTAGCGTTGTCATCGTAGTGGGCTCAGCCTAGTGCCCAGCACTTGGGAAGCCCTGGATAAATGCTTGGCTATATAAACAGGTGAGAATGGGACCAGGCTGAGGGGCACAAACAGCAAGGGGAAGGGGAGCTGCACCCTCCCGGGGAGAGGCTGTGTAGATGGATTGTAAATGCCCTTCTAAGAGGGGCCACCTATTAGCCCTCCCTGTCCTGGGAGAGCAGCTTTTCCCCACACAGAGAAGCGAGCATGGGGCCCCCATCCTGATTTCTCTGTCATCATTTTGGGAGTTGGTGAATGAGGAAAGAAGATGGGACTGAAGTAGGATTCAGTGTCAGGTTCCTGCTCCTGGCACCGGCACGGCACGGCCTCTTCCATCCCCACCTTCCCAAGTCCAAAAGTCTGCTTTTCTGTTTCCCCCGCTGTGTGCTCGTGGGCTGGGCTCACTTCTCCCTCGTGCTTCACAGGTGTCACGTGGCAAAGTTGCATGGGAGGGGAGGGGCGGGAAGAGGACAGCAGCTGGCGGGAGGCAGATTCAGCTTCCTGTTCTCTGGGGGCACCTAGGGCAGTGTCCAAGATGCTTCTTATCCCCCAGTCCGAGGGAGCCGGCTGTGCGGCTGGGCAGTGGGCCCTGCACTGAGGAGCAGGCCTTCCTGAGCAGGAGGAAGCAGGTGGTGGCCACGGCCCTGAAGCAGGCCCTGCAGCTGGACAGAGACCTGCAGGAGGATGAGGTTTGGGGCTTGGGGCTTGGGGCTTGGGTCTGGGCAGGGCTGGGCAGGGTCACATTGGGCTTGTGTGGGCCCAGGGCTAAACACTGGAACTGGCTGTTGTACAAGTGGCCCAGAGCTGCTGTCAACCTGAGGTGATAGCTGCCTCCCACCTGCCAGGTGGCTCCACTTCCTGTCACTGATGTTATTGGGGTTGTGCGTGTGGAGAGCTGCACAAATCACCTGGAGCTCACACAAGGGGTGACCCTGGTGGGCCAGCTTTCACCACCGGGTTTCTCGGTCCTTGGCTTGTGTGGCAGTTAAATACCACCTCATTTTTGTGGGGCATGGCCTTCCCTATTCCTTGGGCATCTGAGCTTGGCTGCCCTGTTTTCCAGGTCCCAGTAGTAGCCATTATGGCCACGGGCGGTGGGATCCGGGCAATGACATCCCTGTATGGACAGCTGGCTGGTCTGAAGGAGCTGGGCCTCCTGGACTGCATCTCCTACATCACAGGGGCCTCAGGCTCCACCTGGTAGGCCTGACGGGTTCAGTGCCGGGGCCACTGGGTGGCCGCTCGGTCTGGGCGGGAGGGAGTATGGGTTATAAGGCACCAGGAGGGCTGGCAACAGACGCGGTGGGGAGAGAAGCCCCAGAGGACCTTTGCAGGTGCTGCCACCAGAAGTGCCTCTTATCCCAAAAAAGCCTAACAGGTAAAGCCCAAATGGGCTCCTTTGTGACAAGTCCCCTGCCCCTGCTTTGGCTTTTCCCAGGGCCTTGGCTAATCTCTATGAGGACCCAGAGTGGTCTCAGAAAGACCTGTCAGGGCCCACTGAGTTACTGAAGACACAGGTGACAAAGAGCAAGCTGGGCGTGCTGGCTCCTAGCAAGCTGTGGCAGTACCAGCAGGAGCTGGCCGAGCGCACCCGCCTAGGTCACCCCCCCTGCTTCACCAACCTGTGGGCCCTCGTCAATGAGGCACTACTGCATGATGAGGTGTGTGGATGGGGCCTGTCCCATCCCGGGGGTGGACGGGAAAAGCTTGGGCCCGGGAAGCTGCGCACTGAGGTTCGGCTGCTCTTTCCCCAGCCCCACGACCACAGGCTCTCAGACCAGCAGGAGGCCCTGACTCGTGGCCAGAACCCTCTGCCCATCTACTGTGCCCTCAACACCAAGGAGCAGAGCCTGACAACCTTTGAGTTTGGAGGTGAGTGGACCCAGGAGGCAGATGCTCTTGTGGGGTGAGGGGGAGGCCTGTGAGTGAGAGGAGGATCTTACACCCACCTCTCCTGGGCCAGGTCCCAGAGACTGATCCTACCAGGGCTCCATCCCAAAGGCAAGGACTGTTAGGTCCTGTGCATAAAGTCACAGCAATGGGGCCTGGGCCTCCTAGTCCCAAGGCTGCCTGAGCAAGGCTTGTTGTGGGTTTGTGGGTGCCCCAGGCTGAGATGTGTGGTCTCCTCACAGAGTGGTGTGAGTTCTCCCCCTATGAGGTTGGCTTTCCCAAGTACGGGGCCTTCATCCCTTCTGAGCTCTTTGGCTCCGAGTTCTTCATGGGGCGGCTGGTGAAGCAGCTCCCGGAGTCCCGCATCTGCTTCCTGGAAGGTGAGGGGCCTGGAAGGCTGGAGAGCAGGGTGCAATGGGGAGGTGAGGGTGCCCTTGTGTCCTGGTCTGGGCTGGCCACCTGCATTGGTCAGGTGATGGGGCAGGGACTCTTCTCATGGCCTCCCTCAGGTATCTGGAGCAACCTTTATGCAGCCAGTCTCCAGGACAGCTTGTACTGGTCCTCAGACCCTAGCCAGTTCTGGGACCGCTGGGCCCAGGATCGGGCCAACCTGGGTAGGTGCTTGGCCACCCCACTGAGGGTGGTGACTCAAGGGGCCTCACCTCAACTGTTCCCCCTCCAGGGTCACCACAGAGGCTGGGATCAGGGCCCATGGGCCCCGTTTCCCCAACACTCTTTCCCGTCCAGACAAAGAGCAGGTTCCCCATACAAAAATAGAAGTGCCACCCACGGCAGCTGGCCGGATCGCCGAGTTCTTCACCAACCTTCTCACGAGGCGCCCACTCGTCCAGGCCACCCACAACTTTCTTCATGGCCTCCACTTCCACAAGGACTATTTCCACCATCCCCACTTCTCTGCCTGGAAAGGTATTGGCTTCTCTGCCTTTCCAGGCACCATGCTCTCTGTGCCCTTTTCTCTTTGCTTGTGTTGGTGGTGCGGTGGAGCTGGGCAGGGGGTGAAGTCTCCTTCCCCTAGAAGTGGCAGAGGTCCAGTGTCGTGACACTTGCTGCTTCCCCTGCTCCAGCTTCCAAACTGGATGGGCTCCCCAACCAGCTGACACCCATGGAGCCCCATCTTTGCCTGCTGGATGTGGGCTATCTCATCAATACCAGCTGCCTGCCCCTCCTACAGCCCACCCGGGATGTGGACCTCATCCTGTCGCTAGACTACAACCTCCATGGAGCCTTCCAGGTCAGAGAGGTTGGGGCAGGCATGGGAGGTGGTGGGTGACCTCGGCTTGGCCTCTCTGCATGGCCCATTGGCATCCAGCATCCGGCGCAGCTTCCCTTAGGTTGTGAGACAGTGATACCACGTAGAATGGAGTATGGATCCTGTGACTTCCGACCAGGGTGCCTTCCCTGGCCCAGGAGCTATGGTGCTGAGCAGCTGGGGAGGTCTTCATCTGCATGTTGGACTGGGCTCCTCTTAGCTGTGCCTGAGCTTTGTGGCCCGCCCCCACTGCTCAGAGTTCCTGTGCCTCTGCCCCCCCACTTTTCCAGGCTGAGGGCTGCAAGGGAAGCAGTCTGGTCACAGCCTTTGTCACGTGGGCCCACCCATGGGGTCCGCTGCAGTCTCCACCTCAGTCTGCAGGCACTAGGCCGTGCGTCCTTGTGGGTCTCCAGTCTGGTCCTATACCTACCCTAGGCCTCCTGCTAATGCCCCCTCTGCCGGCCCTACAGCAGCTGCAGCTCCTGGGACGCTTCTGCCAGGAGCAGGGGATCCCGTTCCCTTCCATTTCGCCCAGCCTGGAGGAGCAGAGCCACCCTCGGGAGTGCCACGCCTTCTGTGACCCTACCCAGCCGGAGGCCCCTGCTGTGCTTCACTTCCCTCTGGTCAACGACTCCTTCCGGGAGCACTCAGCCCCTGGTGAGTCATGGCTGCCGCCCCCACCCTTCTACCCCCACCTCTCTGCGGTGGACCAGACCCCTTCCCCAGTGTAGTCCCCCTGCCCAGGCTGTCTCTCTCCGCAGGGGTGCGGCGGACACCCGAGGAGAAGATAGCCGGGGAGGTGGAACTGTCTTCTACCAGCTCACCTTACCACTACAGCAAGGTGACCTACAGCCCCGAAGACACGGATAAGCTGCTGCGCCTGACGCGCTACAACATCTGTAACAACCGGGAGCGGCTGCTGGAAGCCCTGCGCCAGGCGGTGCAGCGGCGGCAGCAACGGAGGTTCCAGTGATGGTAGGAGGAGCCCAGGCTGGGCCTGGCCCACCCTTTTCGCTGTGGTTCCGAGTCTGGACCCAGACAGCGTTGCTCTGAGTTCTGGTGCCTCTGGGAACCTTGATGCTCAGGGCTGTCCAGAGGTGGCCACCAGCAACCCTGGCACAGGATCCAGGCTGAGGGCCTGCAGGAGGCTGGGAGCAGCCTGGCTCTTTGTGGCTGTGACCAGAGCCCAGGTCCCCACCGAGTGGACTGGAGCTGCCTTCCTCAGACAGGCCAGGCTCAGAGGCCTTGTGCAGGCCAAGGGGAGTATGAGGACAAGCAGAGCACTTTACATTACAAAACACTTGCAAACAGAATGCACTGTCCTAGGTCGTCTATCCTTCCAGGCTCTTGGTTAAAAAAGCAAAGCAACCATGGGCCAGGGATTTAGCTCAATGGTGCAAGATCCTGCGTTTGATCCCCAGTATCAAAAAAAAGAGGAAAGCAACCTGTTATCTCCCTGGTCACACGCTGTGGCCCTGCCCTGTCCAGCTCAGCCGGCCAGAGGGCTGGTGCTGCCTCATGCAAGGGATAGGCTTGGGATCAGATGAACTAGACATCAGTGACAGTGGCTTCACTAGCAGGCTGTTGACATGGGGGGGCACATTCACCAGACATTGTTCTGGAAGCTGGTCCACGGTAGCCCTTGTTCCTGTAGCTGAGTGTCACCTGGTCCCCTACAGTGAGTCTTCCCTTTCGGCTTCGAGGTTTGGTGTGGCCTTGGGGGTCATTTCAAGGTCTGGCCTGCTGAGGAAATGGAGACCATCGATCAGTACCTCTGGTCACCCTCCCCTGGAGACTCTACTCACTTTGCTGAAGTGTGGGGAGTGCTAGGAGCTGTCAGGCAGCCACAGGACGACCGTAGTTAGGTGAACAGGAGATAATATCCTTGATTCTTGTGACCCAGCTTCTGTGTCTTGCTGGGCATGTAGGGGCCTCAGGGCAGCAGAAATGACTATCCTGGTACCCCAGTAGGTACAGAAGGCCTCCTTACCACGTGTCACTTGAATCCTAAATTGGGCCCTTTGCGCTCTGTAGGAATGAATGGATGACTGTGCCAGAGAGACAGCCATCCCTAGCTGCTGCCTGGTAGGTGACAGGCCATGACATCTGGGCTCATTCTGAGAGCTCCTGCCTGGGGAGTGTGACCATGCCTTGCCCATCTCCAGCACCAAGTGGCGGGGAGGGAAAATGGAAGTAGGTGATGACAGGATTTGCAGGAGGCTGAGGACCCTAGAAAGGAGCCTGTTTCTTTGCTTCAGCCTGCAAGCTCTCCCAGCCTTGGCACATGTGCCCCCATAACCTGCAGTTGAGGAGCAGGGGGACAAACTGGCAGGAGGCTGGGTTGTCCTGCAAATTCTGTCTTGGTGAGGGAAGGGAGAAAGGGGGCCAGAAAGTGAGGATGGCAAGGGCCCTGGATAGACAAGGCCAGCCAGGGTCCCCAGCAGTGCCCAAGGGGAAGCCAGAATGCCACTGATCTGAGGCTGGCGGGAGCAGGAGAGAGGCCTGGGCTGTCACTCGGGGCCTCCCATTGCATAGGTGGAGTGAGCCCCTGTTGGGGGACAGCCCTTAGGTTGGGGGAAAGGGAGCCTTGTGGCCTGGTTTTGCACCCAAACCAGCAGGTCTTAGGGCTTCCTGTTTCCCTCAGCCCCTCAGGGCAAGTGGAGTCCTAGGACTATGGGCTGAAGAGAACATAGGTGTTAGGGAGCGCAGGAGCCTGGCTGGGGTGTCTTACCTGAGTAGAGCAGCTGCACTTTGTGCCCGAGATGCTGCCCCTGGGTTCTGCGCTCTGATCCTGGGCCGGAGAGCAAGGGAAGGACAGTTACCCTGGCCTGGACACTACACTGTCCCAGGCAGCTGGCCCTGGGGAGGGACCTGCCTGTACCCAGTCTTTCCCAAATGGATGGATAGACATGTCAAAAGAGCAGAGCACTCAAAAGTAGGCAGGGCCCCAGTGTGTCCAGCCTCCCAGCTGGCAGTGGCAGGTGCTCAGATACTAAGGAAATGGTCTCTGGGCTTCGAGAAAGTCTCAAGAATGGAGCCAGGATCCAGAGGCTGGAAGGAACCCCAGCCCCCTCCAGATGTTCCCTGCCAGATACACGATGAAGACAGAATGACCTAAAGGGGTGCCTTCTCCATATTCCTCCTGCTCACACCTCTGTAGAGTAGCCTTGGGAGATGTCTGTGTGAGTTTCGAGACACCCCCAGGATTAGCTCATAGCCAGGAAGTTCTTGGGGGAGCAGAATCCACAGGGCCTGGCAGGGCTTGAGGGGGAGCCCTGTCTCAGAGTGGCAGACTCCTGAGGGCAGAGTGGGACTAGGAGGCGACTGGGGTCACAACTGGCTCCCCGCTGCTGGGGCTGCTTTGCCAAGTATCTTCAGCCAAGTTGTTTAACTTCCCTGGGCCCTGTTCTTAGGGTCAGAGACTGACCACAGCCTGGGCGCCAGGATGCGGACACTGCCTTGGTCCCCACCCTCTCGTGTTACCCTGTGCCGCCCAGGGCTCACTGCTGGTGCTCAGTCTGCCTTCACGTGGTACTGACGACAGGATGTGCACCCCACCGCTCTGCCTGGCACCCAGTCGGGGGTTAAACTCCCCTTCCTGCTGCCTGAGTTGGGCCTCTCACCTTAAGGAGAATGTGTGTCTCCTGCCGCTGTGGTCTGTTAGCCTCACACTCGGCTCCCCTGAGGTCGAGAAGGGCCAGGGAAGCCACTTCCTAAGGAGAGATGAGGGGTAGGAGTCACGGTGGCCACCTCAGCTTCCCCCGTGGGGCTCCTCCTGTCCTCTGGCCACTTCACCTAGTCTCCAGCCCTGCTGCTGTGTACTGCCTCCGCTGCTTCTCTTAAGAACAGGCTCCTGGCACCTGTACCAGGAGCCGGTGCTAGGCTTTGGAGAGGTGGTGGGGAGGCCACCTGTTGTGGGAGGCTACGGCTAGGGCCTCCTAGGGAATGTCCTGGGCTGGACCATGGTCCCCTCAGGGAAGCAGCAGTAGGAGCCACTGACGGAAACAGAGAAGCCTCATCCCTTTCTGGTGGGATGGCTGTGGGCTCTGCCCAAGTTTACAGGTGCCCCTCTGGGTACTAGCTGCTGGCACCTGCCTCCCCCGTGGGCATTTAAGCTCCGGAGACCCCGCCATGGTAAGGTACCCTTTGCCTCCTGGAACTGCAAGGTGGGACCCAGGCAATGTCAGGCCAGCAGACCACAGGCCCCTTCTACCCAGCTCTCCTAGGGCTGTGCTCCTGCAACTGCTCCACCTCCACCTCCACCTTGGGGTGGGGGGCAAGGGGAGTCTGTCTGGGCAGACCAGCCATTCAGCCTCTGCACCGCACTCTGAAGAGTGCCCATCTTCTCAGGTGCCCCGTGTCTGACTTACTGCCCAGGAGCCCTGCCATGTGGGCCGAGTGGAGGACTGTTCCCACCAACAGACCCACCCCCATCTTGGTATACCTGCCTCCTCTATTGCCTGGCACCGCACCTCTGTCCTCTTCTGCAGCTGGGCACTTCTCCTGGGCTGCCAGAAGTGTCTCTTAAATGCTCATGTCTATGGAGCAGCCCCTCCACATCCAAAAGAGTGCTGAGACAGGCAGGTCAGGCTGAGGCCAGCTCTCAGGTCCCAGGGCCCTTCCCTCACCCTCTACTGCCCAGCCTGGGCGGTCAGAGAGTAGGACAGCAGCAGGGTTCATCCTGGGCTGTGGCTGCCAAATGATGCCAACTCCAGGAAGGCCTCCACTCACCCGGCAGCTGGGCTTTAGTAGGCCAGCCATGCCCCAGCCTGCTCCAGCCCCTACAGGCTCCTGGCTTTCCTCAGTGTTGCTGCCATGGGGCTCAGGTTGTGTGTAGCTCCTGCTGCTGCCCTTCCAGCTCCTGCAGGCTCTGTGCCACCTGGCAGGGAAGGGCTGATGCCAAGAGAGCCTGGGCACAGCTCCCACCTGGGGCAGGGCTGGCAGGGCAGAGGTGGGGAGCAGAGGGCAGACCACAAGGCCTGGACCCGCCTGTCCCCTCAGCCCCGCTCCATCCCTCACCCAGCCTTCCTGGCTGCTGGCTTCCGTCCCATGTCTGTCAGGGAATCTGAGGCTTTGGGCAATTGGGCTAGTTCTTCCCCCTGGGCTCACACCTCTAGGGATGTGAAGTGGCCATTTTCCCCCAGCTGCTGTCCTTCCTGCACAGTCTGGGCTTGAAGACAGTGTTCCTGACTTCATGCCTGAACTCCTTATGCTGCCCAAGGAGCTGTTCGGCCCCCACCAGGTCCCCAGCCAGCTCTTCTGAGGATACCAGTGCCTGCCCCTCCTGAGCCCACACTCTACAAGATGGAAAGGAAGTTGTGGCAGGGCTGGCAGGGTATTCTGGGGGCAAGGGCAGAGAGTTGTGCTCCTCCAGAAGCCGGATGACTGCCCATCCTTACAGAGAAGGACACCACCTACAGCCTGTGCCGGTTGCTGGCTGTGCTCCTGGGCCTTCATCTCCAGGGTGGCCCAGGCCCCTTGCACCTTGGCCAGCAGCTCAGCCAGGCCCTCTTGAGCCACAGGGTGCTGCTGGCCCAGTTGGCAGGCCTCTGTCTGCATCAGTGCTGCCTCTTTTCTATTGCTGCCAGTTCCCTCTGCAATAAGAGCCCAAGATCAGCCTCAGTCTGACCCCTGACCCCTGCCTGTCCCATGCATGTCTAGGCTTCTTAGGAGCACTGCTCTTAAACCTGGGTCAAGTTCTGGGGCCGCACAGGAAGGTGTCAGGGATTCTGGGGAGAGGGCTGGGTGAAGGAAAGGCTCTGAGACAAAGCCTTCCCCTCTGTCTCTGAGGTGCTCAGATGGGCAGGCCTTGGGTGATCCCCTTGCCCGCAGATACCTGTCCTACTGCTGTAAGGGCTGCACAGGTGACAGGTTGCAGCCATGGAGCTCTCCCTCCAATTGGGCGGTTTTCTCCTGCATCAGGCCCTGGAGCTCTGGTGCCTTCTGTTCAAAGCCATGGAGCTTGTGGGCAATGGCTCTGAGAAAAGTTCTGGGAGAGGACAGAGGGGCTGCTGGGGCTGACTCAGCTCCTAGGGCACCCTTCTCCCTGAGACTCGGCCTCCAGGGCCACGTCCTGTGAAGGGGGGCTTGGTGATGAACGCGTGGAGGAGAGTGCCTGTCTGAGGAAGGCTGGTCTGAGATCTGGGGGTGTGTGAAGGGAGGAGGCTGCAACACTGGTGGGAACTTGGAGAGGAGAGGACCCACCCCAGGCCAGGGCCCTCGGAGATGATGTCTGTTGGGCACAGGGAGCTAGGCTGCTCTAAGAGACACAAGCAGCTGTGGTAACCAGATGTGGAGGCTCACCCCTGTAATCCCAGCACTTTGGGAAACTGAGACAGGAGGATCACAAGTTCGAACCTAGCCTGGGCAACTTAGAGAGACCCTGTCTCAAGATAAATAATTTTTTGTTTTGTACCAGGGATTGAACTCCAGGACCTTGTTCTTGCGAGGCAGGCAGCAGCACCACTGAGCTACATCCTCAGCCCTCAAAATAAGTAATTTTTAAAAGGTGGGTGGGGATGTGGCTCAGTGCTGAGATAGGTGCTGGATTCAATCCCCAGTACCACAAAAAAACATACAAAAACCCCAGAAAATGAAACAGCAAAAACCAATCAAGCAGTTATGGCTGGGAACTAAGGTCCTGGAAGAAAGCTGAAGACTTACTTGGTACACAAACCCATGCAAGGCAGTTGGACAAGAAAAGCAGGCGAGGTTGGGGAGAGCCTGGCTGGGTGGCTACTAGAAGGCAACAGCAAGGGGGTCAGGTAAGAACTGGAGCCCAAGCTGGGGATGCTTAAGGGACTCTGAAACTAGCCAGACATGCCCTGTTGCTCCTTGGAGCTGTGACCTGCACAAGGAGGAAACCATATCTCCAGAGAAAGCTAGAGGTGGGAGACTGAGGCTTCTATCTACTTGTTTCTCTGTGTTAGAGGCAACCAACTTCACACACACAGCTATAAGGCCCATGCCACCTACCTCTATGGGTTTTGATTGCCTTGTCCAGCCTCTCAAGTGGCCTCGATGTGATTCTTCTGGCCTTGAATCTGGGGGTAGCACCCAGGGGGATCCCCATTCCAGGGAGCCCACTAGCTCCCTCAGGGCCTGCACCTTGACCTGCCCCAGGCTCTGCACTTCACTGCTGAAAGCATCAAATCTCACTTCCAGCACCTGCAAGGATGGGGCCCTGGGGTGTCACTCTGGAGGTGGCATCTGGTGGCCTGCAATGCTGAGCTCTGAACTCCCTCTAGCCTCTGCCCTTTGCCCAAAACCCCCAGGACCCTCTCATAGACACTCCCTCCTCCAGCTTCCTTGCTGCTCACCCTGTGGCTTCCTGCTCATCCCCAAATACGAGCTCTCTTTGCTCCGTCACCTGTCCCAGGTTGGCCCTGAAGAGACTTACCTGGACACCTTGCAGGTCCAGCCCATACTCTTGGGACTCAGCAATGGCTAACCTGGCATTCAGCCAGGCATCAAGCAACAGAGCCTCCTGCTCCAGCTGGCAGAGCTGCAGCTGCTCCCACAGGCCCCGTTCCCTGCCTTCTGCAGCAGTTACTTGTGGGCCTCCCATGGGCTCTGGGCCAGCACCTTGAGGCTGCGGTGGAGACAGCCCAGCCCTGAGCCCTTGCCCTGTGTGGCCAGACCAGCCTCAGCCACTGTGGTGGAAGCACCTTTCCCACATCCTCTCTGTTCAGGACATGGCCCTGTTTGGCCAGCCAGGATCCTGCCTCCAGGGATGACGATATTGATCCATTTTTCCCCAGGGAAAAACCCTCTGAGGTTCAGGCCTAGCAAGGGTCATAAGTTCCGAGACTCGGAGCAGTGGTTCTCTCTTGGCTGCATGATGTCACCTGGAGAACCTGGGCCCTACCACCAGGTTCTCTGGTCTGGATGCCTGAGCTCCAGTATTTTTGTTTTTTTGCAAGATGCGGTCTCACTGTGTCACCCAGGTTTGTCTCCAACTTGAGTGACCCTCCCACTTTAGCCTAAGTGCAAGGTGGGACAGCAGGTGTGTGCCATCATGCCCAACAGTCAGTGTTTCCTAAAGGTTCCTCATGCTTTTTTTTTTTGTTTTTGAGACTATGTAGCCTGGCTTGGCCTCAAACTTGCAGTGACCCTTCTGCTTCAGCTTTAAGTGCTAAGATTACAGGCATGCATCACAGTGCCTGGCAAGGTTTTGTTTTTCTTGTAATAAAATCAAATTTGGTCAATATTCCTAGGCATGTCTTTTCTTTGCTTATTACTTTAACTCCTTCTCCTGGATTAACTAATGGTCAACTTGTAACACCCAGCTGAACTGATTCATTGTGGTCTGGGCATGAAAGAGCCACCTGAAGATTGTTACCAATAGCCAAAAAAGAGCTGGGGAGGAAGATCTTGGCCTGTTGATCTTCTAGGAGAAGCTTGCTGTGGTTGGTTTTCTTAATGCAGACTAGGCTGTTCTTATCAGGAGGAGCTCAGGGCCTTGCTATTGCTAGGAATGGCTGCTGTTCTCATCAAGGGAGCTATGATCTTCACCATGAGCATCACTTCCTGGCTCCAGTGTGGATCCTTCAGCCTGGTGGCACAAATCCTTCATCTCACTGGCCCTGGTCCTTCCAGGTGCAGATCCTCAATATGGACAAACATGAGATATTGCCGTGGGCTCTGGGCCACTGGCTGGACTTGTGGAGGACACTGCCTTGCACTCTAAGCCTTTAGCTGGATTTGTGTGAGAAACTGCTGGGATCCAGGCCCTCAGCTGGATTCTTTGGTCCTCTAGTGTGTGGCTAATCTCTTGCACTCTTTTGCATTTGACTTTTTGGGTAATTATCAAAATAATCCTATAAGCTATGTCCTATAGTAAATATATTCATTCCCTTGCCAATCTCTCTGACTACAACACTCCTTACGCAAGGCTTTTCACCTGGGGGAGGTGGTTTAGATATAATCAGTAGTGAAGCTTCCAGGTGATTCTGATAGAAAGCACAGGCTGAGAACCTCTGGTTTGAAAGCAGCAGTTGAGGAAGGCAAACCCATGATTCGCTGGTAAACAGAAGTAGGACCATGGGGCATGAGGTGGAAAACGCACAGCACCTGACCCCCAGGGTGTCAACTTCCAGCCCCGCACACACTCCAGGCATTCTCAGCCCAGCCCTACCACCCCTGTGCCCAACCCTGCCCTATCACCTCCATCAGAAGCTGCTGGGCTTCCTGGGCCTGCTGCAGTTAACAGTTGCCTCCATGCTGCCTTCAGCTGCTGCACCTGGGCGGTCACCTCATGGGCAGCAAAGTGCCCGGTCTGCACCAGCTTGGGCCCCATGCCCACCACCACCTGTACCATTGCCTCGTGGCTGCTTATCTCACTTTCCAGGTTCTGAGAAGGACGGGGGACATTACTGGATGCCTGGCGCAACCTGAGCTGTGCCTCAAGCCTAACAGTACCCCACAGATTTACTCTCCGAGTGCTCTGTCGTGGAACTCCCAAACAATCCAGGACACACGGCGCTTAGGCTCTGGCTGTAGTCCTGGGCAGCGGTCGGGGCAGCTTCTCCTACACCCAGTGTGGGAGACTGCCTGCAAGACAGCTGGCTGCTTGCATTGCAGTCCCCTGAGCGAAGGAGTTGCTATGTTATAAGTTCTGATTGGCCGTGATTGGCCATCATTTTATGACATTATTTACAATAGCCATTTTATAGAGCTGAATTTCGCTTTGTACTCTGTGGAGCCATAATTGTGGCCTTATATGGTCATCCTTGAGATTATTTTTCGTCCTTGATATTATTTTTACTTTCATACTATTACCTGATATAAAAATAAGAGCCATCTTACAATAAAGAAAAAAAAAAACCCTATTTGAACCTGAGCATGACTCAGTGTACTTACTCTCAATAAATCCTCTCAAGTTTAGGGCCTGCTGACAGGACCCCGACGTCGCGGCTCACGACACCCAGGCCATTTCCTCGTCAGCATCCCTGAACTGCAAGAGGAGGCTTCAGGCCTCCAGGGCTGTCCTGCGTCCCTGCAGAGGCTCCCAAAGGCTCTCGAACTTGCAGCGGTGGAGGGTGGTGACACAGTACTCACCTGCCCTGCTCCACTGTGGGTGGGGAAAGAGGTGAGGAAACACCATCTGGGAGCAAGAAAAGGAGGCCGAGGAGCACACCTAAGGCTGAGGCTGGGTGCTCTGCCTCCAAAGCGGCTGCCGGGCCTGCCTTCCCACGTCTTTGGGGAGGCAGTGGTCCTGCTCAAAGGCCAACACCTGGGCCTGGTGAAGCAGGGACGGACTGGGACTGGGACTGGGACTGGGACTGGGACTGGGACTGGGACTGGGACTGGGACTGGGCCTGGGCCTGCCTGCTCAGGGCTGCTTCCAGCTCCTTCTGGGCCCTCAAGAGCTTGCCCACCCCAGGTAGGTCCTGGCCCTCAAGAGGGGCTCTCAGTTCCACCTCTGCAGGCCCCAGCCAACTCTCCAGTTCCTCCACACTCCACTGCAGGGCCTGAGGCAGAATATGAGTGAGCTGGAAGCAGGGGATGGAGCCCTGGCCACTGCTCTGGCCCGCACAGCCTCGCCTTGCAGGCCCTCTGCAGCTGGGCCACATTCCTCTGGCAGTTGGTCTGCAGCCCAGCCCAGAGCTCCCCAGCTCCTTCAGCTGCTCCTGGATGGTCTCTGAGGCTGGGTGGCCACCCTGCAGCAGCCTCTGCCCCTCATGCAGCCACAGTAAAGCACACACCTCAGGGACAAAGGGCTGCAGCACAGGGCTCCAGTCACTGGCCTATGCTGCTGGCTACAAGCTTCTGAAGCTCTCCAGGCCTCGTTTTCCTCACCCATATAATGGAGAGAGTAATGGTTATTTGTTTAAACAAGATAAAGCATGTGAAGTACTTAGACCACCTTATATCACTTGGGGTCAGGACCTGCCATTGTAGTTAGGAAAGGTAATGTTAAAAAAGTTGTTATGTTTTGAACCTATCACCCACACAATTGCTGTTCTTGAACTCAGCATGCCAAATATTATCTTTAAAATTACTGAAAAGGCACTGTTTTTAAAGAGGAAATCCCCAGAAAGCAAGTGCACGTCCTTACTCATCAGGGCCTAATCAGGGGCCTAACACAGAAAGCATTCAGTGAGCAGCCGCCATCACCAGTGACTCACACACAGCTGCCAGCTCTGGGGCTGCCCAGGGCCCCACCTCACGTGCTGTAGCTCCTGTTGCTGGTACAGGCTGGTGTCCAGCTTAGCCTGCAAGTTTTGCTGCTTGTGCAACAGTGCTTGCCGGGTAGCGGAGTCCTGCCAGCCCCCTTCCAGAGCCACTAGATTCTTCCTCAGCCACGTGGCCACCTGGGCAATGAGGAAGCCGAGTTCTGCTGACCAGAGCTCTCCCCTGCCTGTAAACTCTGGGGTGCCCTTTCCTCGGGGTGACTCCTCCCACCCACCACACCCACCCTAGCCAAGGTAGCTCGAGGGAATCCTGCAGAAAGGTCTGCAGCTGCTCTAGCTGGTGACCCTGGGGCCTGGCTCGCTGGAGGAGGGACTCTTTCCTGCAGGAAGAGTGGGCCCTGTATTCACCTGGCAGGATGTAGAGCTGCCGCAGGTGTGTGTGATCTTCTAGCCCTTCTTGGTGCCCTTTGCAGTAAAGGCGCATCATGACTCTCCTCTAATGTTCACAGTGGGCTGAATGTGTCTCTGCTTCTCGAGATGAAGTCTGAACCCCCAGTGCCTCTGGATTTGGCTGTTTTTGGAGTCAGTTATCTCTCTGAAGGCCCTAAATTAAAATGTGGCCACATGGGTGGGTCTAACTGGATGCAACTGGGGTCCTCAGAAGAGAGGGGAGAAGGACACAGACATATGAGGGATGCCCATGTGGGGACATGGGCAGAAGATAACTGTGTACAGGTTGAGAGGGAATGGGAGACCAAGCTTGCTGACAACCTGATCTTGGACTTCTGGTCTCTGTAATTGTGAGACAGTAAGTTTCTGTTGTTTACACTGTCCAGTCTGTGGCATTTTGTTATGCTACTCAAAGAGACTGAAAGTGTCTAAGCCACTTTTTAAAAATTACACATTGCAGGCTGGGGATTTAGCTCAGTGGTGCCGCTGCCTGCCCCACAAGCACAAGGACCCAAGTTCGATCCCTGGTACCAAAAAAAAAAAAAAAAAAAAAAA